CTTCAGTAATTTATATGGAACCCCAAAAGACCTCAAATAGATGCAGCAGTCTTGAGTAAGAAGAACAAAGTTGGAGGGATCACAATACCTGATATCAAACTATACTACAAGCCCACCGTAATAAAAACAATCTGGTGCTGGCATAAAAACAGACATATGAATCAGTGGAGCAGAATAAGGAGCCCAGAAATAAACCCATGCCCCTATGGTCAATTACTATTTGACAAAGGGGTTACAGACATACAGTGGAGTAAAAATAGCCTCTCAATCAGTGGTGTTGAGAATTGGAATGCTACATGCGAAAAAATGAAACTAGATTACCAATTCAAGAATACACCAGAATAAACTCTAGACAGATAAAAGACTTAATTGTAACTCATGATACCATAAAATTCCAAGAGGAAAACATAGGCAATAAAATTTCAAATATCCCACGTGGCAATACTTTATATGATACATCTCTTAGGGCAAGAGAAATAAAGTAAAAGATAAACAAGTGGGGCTACATCAAATAAAAGAGTTTCTGCATGGCTACAGAAACCATCAGCAAAATGAGAAGGGAACTATCTGTGTGAGAGAACGTATTTGCCAATGATACATTGGAGAAGGGTTTAATCTCCAAAATATATGAAGAACTTACAGAACTCAACACCAGGGAGAACAAACAATCCAGTTGGAAAATAGGCAGTGCTGGGGTGCAGGAGAAAATGGCAGGCTCCACAGGTATTGTAGATGATAAGATTTTCAGTGATGTTAGCTTTGGGGAAATATTTTAGTATACTTCGGATCAGAGCAACTAATAAAGGAAATACTATTTAAAAAGTGACCTTTTATTGAAGTTACAACTTTAATTAGTGTACTTGATGTTTGAAGTCGACTGTGCTTATAATGAAGCCATAACTCTATAAGAATTGTACTCAGTACCTATAGGTTCTTGAAAATTTAGTAACAAAATGGTGCATTTATTTAAAAAATGGACAGATGATCTGAACAGACACTTCTCCAAGGAGGACATCCATAGGGCCCATAGACTTAGGTAGAAATAATCAGCATCACTAGCCATCAGAGAGATACAAATGAAAACCACAATGAGATACCACCTCACCTCTGATAGAATGGCCATCATTAATAAATTAACAAACAACAAATACTGGTGAGGATGTGGAGACAAGGGAACCCTAGTGCACTATTGGTGGGAATGCAGACAGGCGCAGCCACTGTGGAAAACGGTTGAAATTTCCTTACAAAAATTTAAAATGGAACTGCCTTATGACTCAGCGATTCCACTCCTGGGATTATACCCTAAGAATCCCAAACCACCAATTCGAAAGAATTTAGGCACCCCTAGGTTCATAGCAGTGCTATTTACAATAGTCAGGTGTTGGAAACAGTTGGACTAAGTGCCCATCTGTGGTTCATCTACACAGTGGAGTACTATGCAGCTGAAAGAAAGAAGGAATTCCTACCCTTTGCAACAGCATGGATGGAACTGGAGACTATTATGCTAAGTGAAATAAGCCAGTTGGTGAAAGACAAATACCATATGATATCAGTTATAAGAGAAATCTAATGAACAAAGTAAACTAATGAGCAAAACAGAATGGGAGACATGAAACAGTGAATAGACTGACAGCTGCCAGAGGAAAGGGGTCAGGGGAATAGTGGAAAGAAGGGGAAGGGAATAGTTAAAAAACATGTATGAATGACCCATGGACAACAGGGCAGGGGTGAACTGTGAGAGCAGAGAATGGGGCAGGATGAAGGAGGGCAAAGGAGGAAAAATTGGGACAACTGTAATAGGAAAAAAAACAAGATTTTTTTTAAAAGGAAGGACGGTGTTTCTCTTTCAAATTGATGTTTCTTTTTCTTTTTCTCCCTCCCTTCGTCCCTAAGAAAAGCAATAAATTAAAAAAAAAAAAAAGTCCTCAGGTAAGGATGAAAGAGAGAGAGAGAGAATGAGAATGAATGAGGCTGAGAAACAAAGGTGAGAACTGAATGGTGGAAGTGGGATTGGGAGAGATGCGCGTGCTTGAAACCAGTTAGAAAGGAGACATTACCACAGAAAGGGGAGGTATCAGAACCAGTGCCAGAGGCTTAGCCTTGCAGTGATGGGACACTCCTTTCATTTTAGGGAAGATGGCAAAAAGTTAAAGAAGGCTCGTGAGTAAAGGCTCTGCTGAATCTCCAGGGATGATCAGTCTTCAGTGGCATGAATGTGTCCTGTTATTTAATCTACTAGTGTTGAATTAGTCACATTCAATAGGGAAGGTTGTGAGGTTCCGGGGAGATTGCACCTGTGATTAGGTTAGTGCCAGCATCTCTTTTTAGATACCCCAGGGGCGGGTCCAGTCATAGACTCTCATCTCCCAGCCACGTGAATTAGTCCGTGGAGAACACAGGCAACCTAAATCACACCCATTGGTATCTTTTCAAACTGGAGCTAGGAGAAAGAACTGTTGCTTTCCTCTTGTTGAAAGAGACAAAGATGTAAATGGGTGTTGCTCGTTGTGGACACCTTTCTTTTGTAGTAAAGAAACAAGGAGTAGAGATGTCCAGGGTGGAAAGAAGAGACGAGTTGAGAGGTAAGTGGGGAGAGCTTTAAATTCCTGTGTCCCTGAGCCCAGCTCCATCCATTTCTCTTGATGGTTTGGCCACATGAACTAGTAGGTCCCCCTTACCCTTAAGATAGAGCTTATTAGGTATTTGTGTTGGGAACCAAAGAAACCTTAGCTAAAATATGGTGTATGAATGTGGGGAAGTCAGAGTGGGTTCAGCCAAGGGCTACAAGTACAACAGGAGATACTAACAGGGCTGGTCATGAGGTGACAGAGCATGGGGGCTACACCGCACAGGACAGGCAGTGATTCCCGTGACGATGAGGAACCCAGGGAGCTCAATTCTTAACTAAGTAGATAAAAAGATAGGAAGTTGTGGTGAGGGTATAAGAGTATTGGATGCATTTGCAAAACGCATTTGATTTCTTAAGAAAAAAAAAGAAAGATAATGGGTCACCATAAAGCTCCAAAATGATTCATAAAAATCTATAATTTTGTGGTTGAGAAAGTTAAGAATACTATCTACCTTTTATATTTGTCCTCTTATATACACAGAGGACTTGACTTACAATTTGGCAAGTTTGCTGAATTTCACAAGATACTTTAAAATCAATTTTTATTGTACCATATGCAGCTGATTGAGTAACAAGAATCTTCTAATTTGGAACTCTATTTTTTTAAGCAAAATATTCTCATGTTAGAACTTAGCTATCATTTTCAACTATGTTTATGAACACTTTTTTAAAAATCTTTAGCACATTGTTAAGTTACTCTGGGTAGTATTAAGTATGATAGTTTACAAAGAACCTTTAATGATCAGTCTCTTTTCAGTTGTAGTTTCTCAGCCCATTATTACTTGTGGGTTCAAATGGTTCATACAAGTCCTAGATTCCATTCAAAAGGCATTTTTCCAGCTGGAGTCTCTTGATTCCGGAGTCACTCTCCCTGCACTCCTCTAACTGCAGCCTCATGAGACATTAGCTCTGTAACGGGTTGTTAAGGTCTTCAGGAAGTTTGAGTCCTTCAAAAGAGCATGTAATTTACAGCATGGTTTTTGTGCCTTGATCTACCCCTTATTTTAATCTACTGTTTTGTCATTTTTGTATTTGAGGACACGCATCACCATGTCCTGATAATAATGAAATGCATCCTGATTTTAATTGCTCCCATGATTATCTGGTAGTTAAATTGACTATTGCAGCCACACTGAAGAATTCCCAGAGTCTGTCAAGATGCTGGCTAAGGATACATGGATTGAACCTTAAATAATATACAATCTGTAACCTATGTAGATTTTAACTAAATTGGGAAGTGCTTTTGCTGGAAAGGGGACTCACTGCTGGCATGCAATCTTCTGTTTACACACGTGCAGACCGTCTCCTGCACCTGGACAAGGCAGGCGAAAGGCAGAGATGAGAACACAAGGCATTTCTCCCTCTGCTCTGCTACCTGGGAAGCGGTCTGAATCTGCCGTTTGCTCTTTCAGAGATAAGGGATTGGATGGCACCTGATCCCCCACCTTTCCCCACCTCAAAGTAAAAGAAGTCTTCGCTGAGTCTAATAGGGCCATGTCCTTCTTGGAAGACAAATGTTTCAACTTCTGACTGATGTTATTATGTCCCCAAGCTGCTGTTGTGACTTTTGTCTTAGATGTGCATTTGTGTTTTTCTTTATAATACCTTACTCAAAATTAAGAAAGTCGAGACGTGGCGTGCGTTTTCTTGAACCATTGTCATAGTGGAACAAGGTGATTGCAAGTACCCTTACATGTGATACCAGAGCTGGGAGACTCGGGGGCAGCCCTAGGCTGCCCCTGTCCTTGCTGTGACCGAGGCTCTATAGGGGATTTCTGTCCCCTCTCCGCCACCTCACACACTTGTCACACCAACTATAAAGCAGGATCATAAAGTTAGACCAGGGAAAGCTGCTTCAGTCATTGGTATAGAAACTCTGAAATTATTCTAAGATTTTTAAATAATCTGTCTCTAGTGTTCTTTCTATGTATCTTGCTCATTAAGTTGTGAAAATAGTTATATTTACTTCATTAATGAAAAAGGTGTGAGTACTCCAATATCTAAACTAGTGAAACTCTGAGACCATAAGAAAAGTAGAGGACATGGTCTAATTTTAATCATGTCCTAAATAGGATATAAATATTATAGTAATGTTTAACTGTGGTAAAATGTAATACAGTAGTGTGTGTTTTACTTATAAAAGAACTTTTTTTTTTTTTACTTTGTGAAAATGCTGTTTCACAAAATGCTGCTTGCCCTGTGCCCACTCGCCACACCCGTGTGTCCTCGGCTCCACAAAGGAAGACCAGCCTGGAGGCTGGGGGGGGTCACCTGCTGACTCCCTCAAGCCTTTTGGCTTTGGTCATTGTCTGAATTCAAAATGTGGAATGGAATGAAGAGAATAATTCCATCTTGTTTTCTCTCTTTTCAGGCTCTGTACAACTCAATCAAGAATGAGAAGCTTGAATGGGCTGCGTAAGTATGCTGGATGTCAGCCTTTTAATAAATAAGTGATCAGCTTGCTCTTCCTTATTGTCCCCTGTGTGCCTGAGAGGCGACCCCAGAGGAGAACCTAATGTGCATGCACACTTCTCATTTCGCACAAGTGTCTCAGCTACTTTGTACAAAACCTTAAGTATCCTTGTCTTTTTCTTGGTGCCCAGCATGCTCTTTTTCTTCTTTTAATCTGGTTGTTATGCTTGTAGGCAATTAATTTTCTTTTTCATGTGTTTTTAAAAATAGCACTTTAAAAGGAAATCTGATAAAATCCCATACATTCCAAAGTCCAATACAAATGATTTTGGTACCACCCACTTACTTTAATTCTCTGCCCTATCATCATAGACCAAGGTTTCCAATCCGATTTTCCTATGATACTAGATACATTGGGATATTGATAGATAAGCCTGAGAAATGATAGCTTAAAATAAGCTAAAAAAATGTTTTTAACTATCTGACCTCTAGAGGCATATACAATGCCAGTATATATTGTCTGTCTCCCGGAGAGGAGTGCACTGAAGTGTTTCCCAAGCCTGCCTGACAGTAAAATGTAGGGTATCCAGGTACACACTTTGGAGATACTGTTCCAGGTTAACTTTGCATAACTCTGTGTAGACCAGCGATACCTACCATTCTTGTGAAATTTTCACTGATCAGTGTAGCAGTTAAGAATTTAATCTTTAACAAATTAAGGAAGAATCTCTACTAAATTTTTAATGAAGTCAGAAGTTAGGTCAAATATGTTTTTTAATTAAAACTACATGTGAATTTTGTTTTGATTTTTCACTCATATGAAGCATTCATAAATGCTTTTCCACTCCGTGGCCTAACATAGCAATCTGCAATGGACTTCTTTACATAATCGTAACACAGGGGTAAATCTTGTCCTTTCATATGCACGTTGGGGAAAAGTGGTTTACCAGTTGACTGCATCTCACATGTAATGCTAGAAAGAACAGAAACTATCAATACCACTCGAATTGTTTCCACTAATTGTAAGATCTTATGGTGTTGCGCGTGGGTCACCAGCCAGCAGTGACCACGGAACGCTGTGGATGGCTCGACGATAAACACGCGAGAAAAAACACACATGCACAGAGACAAACTAGTTTCTGTGGAGAAGTAGGGACGAAATGGCCACCCCCCCTAGTGGGGAGCGCGCCAATTTACAGTCCATACCTGCTTTTATTAGGCTCATTTTGCATAATAATTCAGGTAAAGTACAGTACTCATTAGGGGGAAGTAAGGAACCATAGAAAACAAAGAACTCTGCCGGTCTATTGAGTTGGGGGTCAAAGAGCTGTAAGACTGAACGACAAAATAACTTCCTCCTAAGACCCTTCTCATTCAACTGAGAGCATTCTAAACAAAGAAGGTTTCACAGTACTTTACATATTCTTTCTTTGGCCTGATCACCCTGGGGAATCCGCACTTCTCAGTACCGAGCTGCACCACCCTGTCATTGTTTCAGGCTTAGGTGGAGCAAGGGAACTAAGGCAACCGAGAGACAAGGAGGTTTTTCCCAGACGCTGAGAACTCAGGCTATGTCAGAGCTGAGGAGCGAGGGTCCATCACCCCCTTTTGCTGCAGCCCCCCAAGTCCTTCTTTTGGGGGGCCTCCCAAAGTGATCGTGCCTGTCTTAGGTCGTTCCCCCGTGGGGAATCTTACCCATCTTTGGCTAACCGACCAAGCTTTTTGGGGTTCAGTTATGAATAAAGCAGCAGAAGCAGCATTCCTGCCAGGAAGATAAGCTTTTGTCTCCTTGCTGGCTTACAGTTCCAAGGGCGTTCCCTTAGCCTTAGCTAGGCGGGGGTTTCAGCCTCTGATACCAGTCAGGGCGGTTCCCAACATTATGGTACGGTTTTAAATTAGGGATTCAAAGATTAAGTTGAGACTATAATATTTACAAGTGTATGTGATGGTTTAGGCATCTGTATATATACACAAATAGCATGAAATTCACTTAAAGACAATGTATCATTTCAAGGAAAATGCATTAAAATATAAATTAATGTTCTAAGATCCAAAGTGACTATTTCTGGACTTATCTCTTTTTAGTGAAGGTGAGTTTCCTAGAAAAATTCCATAAATATTGAATAATATACTTAGAATCTTGCTGAAATAGTAAAAGCATGTCCTGGCCTATATAGAATATACTCTAGAGAAAATTAATAAAAATGAAATATTATAAGCATATTCACACTGTTGAATTTGTTACAGTAGGCTTTATGTGTGGTTATGTGTAGTGGCAATTTGGTATAAGAAAGCTTGATCTTGGGCACTGCCCATGTGTGGGCAGTAGGAGTTTACCCGAGAGCTGGAAGCTTCTGTGGCTATCTTGTCAAGTCAACAGAGCATCGTGTTCCAAAGGCCAGATCTCAAGTCAGATTGGGTTTGAATGCCAGCCCAGCTACAAGATGCTGCTACAAAATGTTTAAGGTTAATGTATACTCACTTGCAAGGGAGGTATGTTGATGTTGATGTAGAGCCTTGGAAGAAATCAAATTAGAGAATCATGGAGTGGTATAACTGGAGGGACCTCAGAGGTTTTTTGGTCATTGGTTTTCTCACTGCATTCCTTGGAGCCCTAGGGACCCTCGGCCCGGGCATCGATGTGAGCGATGTGAGCGAGGGGAAAGCAGAGAAAGGGGAGGGTGATGGGACTCAGTTCTGCCCCCCACAACCATCCCGCCTCCTTCAGCTGACCAAAGCAGCCCCACTGCTGTCTTTTTAAAATACATATTTGGAGTTCTAGGTACACCTTCTCTTTTTAAAGGTATCTGTACTTAAAAAATTTTTTGAAAAGTACTACCTCAGTCCAGTGTTCTCATTTCCTATATGAAGAAAATGAACTCAAGAAGCCTTCATTAACAGGTCAGGAGCTACAGTGAGTGCGGTGGCAAAGCCAGGGTTTGTCCCCAGGCGCCCCAGCCCCCACAGCAGCACAGGTTGCCTCGCTTCACTGTAGCCCCATAGCCCCATTCTCAAGGTCTGTGCTGGGCAGCGACCATGCCTGAAAGTCTGCGCCAGCGTTCGATGCAGCGTGAAGTAAGAGAGTTTTATGTTACATTTTTAGTCTCATTAAATGCTCCTAGAATTACTAGTATTCTTCCCCCAGGCAAGTTAGGTAACCAAGATCATTCATTCATCTATTCCAGTCTTTAGCCGCTGCTTCTGTGTCTGGCCCAGTGCTGTGCCCTAGATACAAATATGAAAAGACAGGCTCTCCGCCTAAGGAGACACAGCGTGGGGGTGGGTGGGCAGGGGTGGACTGTACAAAGGGGAAAACACACATAAAAATTGTAGGGAAGGGTGCCATTAGCTAAACTGCCTGCGGAAGGTCTCAGCTCCCTCATGCAGGACAATTACCATTTCTTCCCCAGACCCTTTGCTCAGTCATTCATTATTCATAAAGCATCTCTTTGTTGAACCACTTTGTGCTGGAAATTTGGGGAGAACAAAAGTACGTAAGGTGCTAAGCCATTTTCCCTGGCCTAAGAAATTTTGCGGTTTAATACAAATGATGAAATAAAAGGTAAGGAGCAGTTTGTCTCTGATGGGGATGGAATGGGGTGAGGTGAGCGGCAGTACATACAGGAGCTTCTGACTTGTTAGAATTGTTTAAAATGTAGCTGCATGAGGATCTTCAGAGAATCTAACAAAGAAAAGGGAAAATGGGTGCAGTATTACTTATTAGGAAAATTAACAGTCTTATTTATTGCCATTACTATACAACAGTGTTTAGGAGTTGCAATAAATCTTTCTTTCCCTGATTTTTACAAATATTAAAAATGTATGTATCCAGCCTCACTTTAATTAAGACACAATGAAACTGGTTTTAAATCATGTGCCTCCAGGCTCCCCCTTGCCCGGCCCCACTGCCCCCACCATCTGGGGCGCGGCAGCATTTGCTCTGCTTCTCCTGATACACAGCTGTTCTCTTACCTCTGAAAGAGCATTTTACAACCTTGTATCATGGAACAGCCTTTGCTATTTTATATTACCCTGTAACTCGTTTTACAGGAGCAGTTTAAAATCTTTATCACTTTTGCTCCTAAATTAAATTGTTTTCTGTCTGCCCTTGCTTATCAAATTGCCCTGGTTAATTAGGTGAGGTGGTGGAACTTCGGGATCGTTGTCTTTCAGATCAGGTGTCATGAAACCCCAGAGCTTTAAAACAGATGTGGTTTTAAATGACAGCAGTCCATTGTTTGGTTTCTTGACCTTCTTTCCTGTTGCGAACTTTCATTATGGCTGGTCTTTCCAGGAAACCAGTGCTGTCCATTTGTTGGCTGGTTTCAGTGGGTAGAGAAGCTCTCCCAGTATCTCCACCCTCTTCATTATCATTATTTTGTGTGTTGCTGCCTGTGAGTGAGAGTGCATACCTGTGTTCACATCTGTGTGTATTGTTGGAGAATGATAGTTAAAGGCAATGGAATAACTAACACTTATTATTTCACGTGGTACTTTAATTCTTTATCCAATCCAAGGGTCTGGCTCTGAAATTGACAACTGTTTCCAGAGTCCCTTTGCTACGCAGTCTCTGAAAAAAAATTTTTTTTTTTTTTTCAAAAATAGAAACTTTTGGCATCTCTGGGCCACACTAGAAGAAGAAGAGTTGTCCCGGGCCACACAGTAAATACACAAACACTAACAAAAACTGATGAGCAAAAAAAAGATTTTAAGTCAATGTACGATTTTGTGTTAGGCTGCATTCATAGCTATTCTAGGCCGCACACGGCCCATAGGCCGTGGGTGGGACACCCTGCAAATTAGAACTTCCTTTCGTTACTCAGTCCCTTTTCATATTTTACGTAACTCAGTGTTGACTCTAATTTTATTTTAGATAATAGTACATATCCATTGAAATGTAGTTTCAATTGTTGCTCTATAGAAAATGGCCATCTCAAAAGACAGTTTTAGTTTCAATTAAGAGAGTTTTTCTCTTACCTTGGATTGATTTAGATGAGCCACCT